TACCATTCGCATACTAACGATGAGACTTCATAAATTTTGTTTGCTTTGCTGTTTAAGTTGTGGTAGACTCAGGTGACTATGACAAAACAAACCAACAATTTGACTTTTTCCTAATCATGTGTACTTTGCTTTATGCGATTCCACCGCGTACTGTCTTGTTTTGCTTCATATCGTTTACTTTTAGAATGGCTGTGAGAAGGTGTGAAATGTCGTTTTTATTTCTAATTTCGTTTGCAAATCGGCTTGAACAATATTTACGCTATAGACAAGTTGGAACTGTGGCCCGCACAGTTTGGTGATAAAGGTAAGCCTAGATTTTCATACGTTGGGTTGTAGTTCTTTGTGTTACAATATATATCTGTGCTCGTAAAAACTGATTTCGCCAAAAGTATACTTTTCTGAAACTTTCTTGCATTTTGTATATATATATTTCTGGAATGGTAAGTGGAAATTCAGTTTTACTCCTATGTTTTCCATGGGCAATTTTTAATTTCATAGGATGCAGTGACTCTGACGGATGCGCTCAGCCTCGTAAGCATAAAGACTTTTTGCTAACCTAAGCAAAGTACCATGTGTCTAAAACCCTATCATTTGCATAATCCAGCGATCCCAATGTCGCATCGACGATCAATATTTACTTTGTGCCCCTCTTCCTGTAATGTATTTTGAAGATGTTTGTAGTGTTTGATTTTACTTGGTCTTGCTACCTCAAATGTGCTATGGCAGTATTTAGCGAGGCCGCATTTTCGGAGCTGCGGTTCAGAACTGCTATGTTAGCCCCTAGTGTGAAATTAGCTCTAACCATTATTTGGTTAATACCGGCGTTGATGGGATGACCGCTTGGCCTTCCAGTTGCTGTTATGTTTAGTACACTCTTGTGTGTTTTGATGTATGCTTGTGAGTGTGTTCTCATGCAATGACTTAGTATTTCTGAGAGCGTTTCTCTCTGGTATCCACAATGGGGGCAGGACTTCGTGCATGAAGGCACACGGTAGCGGGTTGGAAGCAGGTCGAGTCGTGCATATGGACAAAGCGGCAAATAGCCTAGCTAAAGAGATTTCAGTACACATAAAGTGTTTAGAGACAGACCATGTCACAGGAAGTGTGTTCACCTACTATGCTTTGAACTGCTTGTTCCATCCATGCTTTCGCGTGGAAGGAATTAACGAGTATGTGCAGGTCTTTGCAAAGCCGGCCTTTCTGACTAGAGGTTCATTCATATTTTAAGGTGCCGTATGTCCGAGGCATAGGACTCGTTGCCAGGCTCATAAACGGCAAACGGTTATTCAGGAACGTAATTTAGTTGCGCAACTCCATGTAGATGTTCGTAACTGTCGCTGCGAAGTCACTGCGTAACTTTCGCGCTTCATCCGTGGAGCTTAGATACCAGGAGAAATGTTCCTGGATAAGCTGCAGCTGGAGGTGTAAATAGTGGATCATGTGGCTGTTAAATTCCTTCGCTGCAACCGATCCCACCTTGTACTAGCTGGACCACAGTAGTGGTATGCTAACCCTCTGGATGGCATGGTCTGTAGGAACCATGGTGGTAGCTAAATGCTCCTTTTTGTTCCTATAGAGCCAGCGACTTGACGCCTAAGGACGATACATGTGGACATTACCTGACGATCGACCTAATGGAACCGTCATACTGTCCCAAGTTGCCCTTGGTGGTATCCCAGTGCATGTTCCTGGACGCATGTATTAGTTAGAAGTGGGCAGATGTATAAAAGCTGTTATTGTCAGTCAGCGACCTGACTCGAAAAGATACTTTTTAGCAGAGGGATGTCTGCATTGATATGATATATCCCCATTTTGCCCCAAGGTAGGGATCAGCCTCTAATTTGATTAGGCTGTAGATATGGGTATGAGAAATAGTACTTTTTTTAAATTTAGATTTAAGACCCTTACATTTTACAGGACTAACGATCAGGCTAATGTTTTTCGCTGCCTTGTGTAGCTGGTCTAATATTCAGTGACAAAGCAAGTAATGCCAAATCTTTATCCACATATACGCGACTCAGCGTCTTAAAAATAATACATCCGCCAGGTGCTACCATCTTGAGGATCCTACGAAGTATTGAAGTTTGTTTTTGCGAAGTTCAGAAGAAAATAGAAAGTCGGTTGGAAATGAAGAGTGCAGGATTTAGTGGAATGACGAAAGATGAATGATTGCGCTTACATTTGTCTTTGAAAAGAAAAACAGTATAAGCACTGTCGCATCTTATCAGCATTCTGCTTAATATGATCCAACCCAAAAAGACTATTTTATAATTTTTAATAATATCATGCTATGATGTTTAATTGAGGTTATTGTTGTCATACTGTAGTTGCCATTGATGGAAAGAAGGTCATAGAAGTATATGAGGTTAGGATTTTTAGTAATGCTGTTGAAATGACACAATTCAGGTATTTTTTGGTGCTAACCCACATCGTACTTTTAACAAGCTTTGACAAATTGTCTTTCTGTGCCGGGTGTAGTGATTGACAAACATGAGGAAAAATGACAGAGGGCTGAACTTAAGATTACTATAATGTGGTATAGAGAGGATAAATAATGGTATGATCATTGTAACGCTCGAAAGTTGTTTGTTAACGAGCTAAAGGTTTGAGATTTGAGTACCATGTGTTGTTTTCTGATAATAAGGTGTGTAGGCTCTTGAAGAACTTTCTAGTTTACGTTTCTTATTTGTACTAAAGAAGTTTATTTACAGATTAATTATTTCTTCTATTGTGTGATATCT